CTGTTTAGTATTCTTGTAGACCCTTTTGGGACCAACATAGTTCATCTCCCCTTTTGTAAGCCTCGCTCAGTTATATGCCGTCTACCATTGGCAAGTTTCCTCTCTCGAAACCTTTCATTCAACCAAATTATGATTGGTTGAATGAGGTTTGTACGATTTGTACAAATAACGTGGTTTGCAAAGTAAACATTCTATATATATATATATATATATATGTGTGTGTGTGTGTGTGTGTGTGTGTGTATACACACACATATAACACTATGTAATTATCATAATTATATTTTAACTCATATTTTATAATTATTCTCCAAGAATTATTGTTTTAACAATCAACATGATTTATTTCATGTTTTTGAAAATAGAAGTATATGCATTATTTGCGTGTGATCGTATAGGTTTACATACTTGTTGACAATAATACTGTGTAACACGTGTCGTGTGCATAAAATAACTTATATTAATGAATAAGCTGATGAAGGAGATGTGCCTCGGAGGGTGTACATGTCGATTCATTGTTGTTTTGTTTGTTTAAAGTTCATTCATTACCGGTCAACGATTTGAAGTGGTTTGTAGAGTTTGGGTAAAAACGGAAGGGGTGTTCATGGGGAAAACGAACCAAGGGCATTCATTGCCATAAAACTAGAGGTTCGTTGTGGGGAAAATGTCGATACAAGGAAACCGATGGGTTATTATAATAGCAGCTATTATATTTATTTATTTTTCGGTTAATATAAAATTTTTATATATTTTTTATTTTAAAAGAAAAAATAAAATGACTAAAATACCCGAAGGTTATTAAGTCAAAGAATCAAATCCATAATAAAGGTGAAATCAAGGGACCATGCATATAATTATTAGATTTGGAACCCAACCAAATTTACTTCTAACAACGAGGACAAAATTGTAATTTACTTTTTTTTTTTTTTAAGAATTAAGGGGTTGTTTGGCAGTTGCTGAATGATTTGATGCAGAATGATTAAGTGGTCGGAATGATTAAGAGACTCTCATGATATAGTGTAAAATGAAATATAATTGTTTGGTAATTGTTTATAATGAAATTAGGACGCTTAATGGTTAAGGGAGATCCATGATACAAAATTATTAAGAGGTAAAAAAGAAATTGTTAAACAAGATTTATCACTTAACAATTCAAATGTTGACTCTTAATAGAATTATTAAGAGGTAAACAAACAACTCCTTAATATATATGAGATGAAAGATCACTGATTCATATAGTACTTTAAACACTTGAATGATATACAATTAGAAAAATCTAATAAAATATAATGAAAAGTTAAAATAAAAAGCAAAATATATTAAATTAAAAAGATTGGAAATAATTGATTAAAAAGTTTGAAATGCCAAAAAGCTGTTTAGCTGCATTATTGAGAATTTGACACGGTTTGGTTTCACTTCTTTTATTGTCATATTTTTGGATTTACATATTTCTTAATTAATAATGTCTTTGGGTTTTTTCTTAATTAATGTGATGTTTGTTTTTTAATAGGTACTGAAGTCTGAAGTGTTATTCACTTCTGATTTATAGGAGGTGGTGTTAAAGTCTGAAATTTGAATTAATAAGACTGCTTGTTTTTTGTAAACTGATAAACGTTTGAGTTTGTTTAAATTATCTATTTTACCCGTTAAAAAATTATAGTTTGAATTTATAGATGACTTTCAGAGTTTTTTTTTTCATTATCTTCAAATGATGTCTTTGATATTCTTTAACACTTCCTTTTTATTTATTTACATTATCATTTAATTATTAATCAGTTTTTTTTATTAAACATGACTGATTTATCCTGTAACTTATTAGCTGATTAACAAGAAAGTTGTTAGTCAATAGTCAACTTATCATATCAAACGAAAAATTGTGTGAGAATAAGAATTAAAATGAGCAATATGAGAAAGGATGTGGACCTTTGATTACTTTTAATCTCAACCCTAACCCCATGAACCACGTTTGATACGAGGTGGATCTCAGTGCATCTTATTAGTGTTAATCTTCAATTAGGATTGATCCAATGATGGAGATCCTTCTTACCCTTCTCGTAATAACTTTCATTCTCACTGGAACTCAACTTACCATACGTTTTGTCAAGCATAACCTAACTTACCTTTTATAAAGATTATTTGTGTGTCCGTGCGATACAACGGGATATAAAATTTTATTATAAAACCGATGATGAAACGTTAATGAAATTCCCCATTAAAAATATCCAAAATTTATGTTTGAATAAAATAGAAATTACAATCATACAAATCTAAACTATACATAAACTGTTAAATATACTGAGCTGTTTTTGTAAACATGGGTCTAACAAAGAGAAAATTTACCGTATAAAGTCTTGGTCTCGTTTTATAAGCATGAAAATTGATAGATCAAACCACAACGGTAGTGCTTGATTGGTTTGAGCTTGAGCTCCTAATATCAAAGTGCCTGGAGGTCTCAAGTTCAAATCCAAGGAGGAATAAAAATCCTCTTGTGGCCACAGAGGTTCAAATGCGGTGACCCCAGGCTACCCACAAAGCAGGTGGTCGCCCTGGGATTAGTCGGCTCACATAACAGGTTGGATATCCAAGTTAATCAAATTTTTTTGATAGATCATTATATTTGTTATACGATCGTTGACTTAGAGGAGTTGGTTGTTATCTAATTGACAAGCTCAAAGCGTAAACGAAGCCATATCAAATCAAAAAATGGTGCTATCGAAATGTACTATAGGTGGTCGAAGTAGTTAAACCTGATCTTTAATCGTTGTCTTTACTGATATCGAGATGCTTGTATATACATACACACAAGAGAACTGTTGTATATATCTTGTAAATGTAAAAAAAGAATACTTCTTGTGACATAATTATTAAAAGGATAATGATGCATGGTTTCAATTTCTATGATTATATCGTGTCTTTTCAGTACCAGTTAACAATTATTTGCCAGTAAGGACATTTATGAATCGATGTTTTTAGGAGGGTTGAAAAATTAGCACTACCGGTACTTTTGTCAGTGTTTTTTGATGTTTAGATACATGAATTGAATTCAACTGCTAATTACGCAACAACTTTGATCAGTCAACGTGTTAATTTGTCGCGTCTGATTACACACAAATTACATAAAGAGACAACAACACTAGCACTGAGTGGTGAAATGGATGAGTCACGTAGCATGTCAAAATCTCCATGCCTCAAATTGGGGTCGATTATGCTACAGACGACTTTTTATTCATGTCCTTTTCAACTGACTTTTTATATTTTATCATTTAACAATAATATGGAAATAAAATTAGCTAATTATAATTTCATTAACCAAATGGTCTTTAATGCAACTGTGACATGTAAGATTGATAAGAACTACTGATTTGTGCAGTAATGAGGTGGTTGAATGTACTGCAAACTTGATTCTTACGACTCAAAATTGAAAATCACCAATTTTGTAGTACTTATAACAGCTTGATTTAAGACTTAAACCAATCAGAATTTAATTTCTAAAATAAATATAAAATCACATAATCATTCATTACCTTTACAACTTATTATCTGATGTTAATTCATAATAATCTATATTATATTATAAAGCATTTGACAAAAACTCTTAAAAACCATTTTTTATGCATGAAATATTGTTAAAGTTCCATTTTTAAATTCATGTAACCAACTGCTGATAAACATAATCAAATAGATGATAAACATCCATTTTAACTATAAAAAATCTAAAATATAATTAGGATAATTATTGAGTTTAACAGAATGTTTAATTATTATCTTGATAAAAAAATTATATTATCAAACCAAAAATAAATTACTTTGTTATTAAATCTAAATTAAATTATAATAAAAAATTGAATTAAAGAAGTTACACAAAAAAAACGAGAACTATTAAATAGTTAATTTGATACTATTATCGATTTATTTTTTTACAAATTTTTATGTTATCTTCAAATTTATATTTTAATTTAAAAATAAAAACATTGCCGCTTTCATGAAACCACATATAATCGTATTATATCAATAGAGACAAAAAAAAATAAAAACTAAACATTAAAATCGAGATTTACCTTGTTGTATTGCGTGAGTACCCTTCTAGTTCTTCTAAAAACACAAACTTGGTGTTTGGAATTGCTTATTTGAAACAACTTATTCTTTTTTACAAAAGCACTTATGAACTTATTATAAATCAGAAGAGTTTAACTTCTTCAAAAACTCCATATTACCGGTTTGGCACATGTATAAGTTGTTTATCCAAACACTCAAAAATACTTATTACCAATATCACACCAAAATAAGTCAATAAATTGTTTTTATAAATAATCTCAAACACCCTTAAACATCTCACTTTAAGTTTGCAAAAGTTTTAAAAATAAAACTAGAATCCTTTAATAGACTAGAAAGCACAATGCACCAATCAAGAATGGTGGACACTTTTTCCAGATCGTAAATTCTCAAATCCAAGGCAATACACAATTTCTAATGCATGATATATAAGATGTTATAGCAATGTCATCTTGATTTTAGAAAAGTTAGTTCTGGAAAAGGAATTACCAGATGCCCCATCTCTACCCATGCGTTGTCGGTGTTTATTCGAGTATGTGTTGTATTTGATTTTTCATCGTAAACTAATTATTATTATTATTATTTAAAAATGTTTTTTATTTTATTTTAGATTTTTTTTAATTCATTTCAAAGAATAAAAGAATGAAAATGTGGATGCAAATGAATTTAATTCCAACCAATTTGTTGAAAAATGTTTTATCCATTATCTTGTAGGTGTTTGAGATTGTTTATAAAAATAACTTATTGATTTATTACGGTGTGACATCGGTAATAAACACTTTTGAGTGTTTAGATAAACAACTTATACCGGTGTCAAACCGATAATAAGAAGTTTTTGAAAAAGTTAAACCGACTTATAATAAGTTAATAAGTGTTTTTGTAGAAAAACATTGGTTGTTTTATTGGGTCTACAAATAGGGCGATTATTCATGAACTCCATGCAACTAAACTGAAAGTAAAAGAGAGCCACCATGGCTGCATTGCTTAGCTCACTACTTATCTTCTCATTCTTGTCTCTTGGAACTCCATTATCCTCAAACTACTACCAGAAAACATGTCCAAATGCAGAATCAATCATCAGAAAAGCCGTAACCGACGCCACAAAGAATGACAAAACTGTCCCTGCAGGACTGCTCCGAATGCACTTCCACGACTGTTTCGTAAGGGTGCGAATGGGGATTCTTTGTCTTACTAGTTTGTGTTGATTTGCATCGAGTTTGACTGTGTTGTGTTTGTTGCATTTTGATGATGAACTGTAGGGGTGTGATGGTTCGGTGCTGTTGAACTCGAAAGGAAAGAACAAGGCTGAAAAAGACGGACCGCCAAATGTTTCTCTGCACGCATTTTATGTCATCGACAACGCAAAGAAAGCCCTCGAATCTGCGTGTCCGAGGGTGGTCTCGTGTGCCGATATCTTAGCTTTAGCTGCAAGAGATGCAGTTGTGCTGGTAAGCTAAAAACTATCTTCTTATACTTTTTCATCCGCTTTTTCGTCTTTATGAACTTCTCAATGTTTTTGTCATCCTCATTTGACCATAAACCTCCAAGTAATAATCATATAATTGATCAAGGGGGCGAGTTTTGGAATAACTGGTATTAGTATCATAACGTGTATGAGGAAAGTTGCGTATGGTACTTCCTCCACGAGCTTTGGTGCACGAGGTCTACATGCATCCCACTCTCCACTCCTCCCACTTGAAGTCTTGGTTTTACTAAACACTATCAATTTGCAGTTTGTACCCTAAACACATGATGTATGACTATTATACGCACAAAACACAACTTAACCATATGTATCCTATGGTTCTCTACCGGTCCGCACTTTTTTGGACTGCTTTGACCAAGCCGTTTTCCAAACCAGATTTTTTAGCACCGGTCTACGCCCATCTCCGTGTTTATGACGTTTCCGGCTTAATTTACATGCAGTCTGGAGGACCATCTTGGGATGTGCCAAAAGGAAGAAAAGATGGAAGAACATCTAAGGCTAGTGAATCCACACAGCTACCGGCTCCTACCTTCAACATTTCTCAACTTCAACAAAGTTTCTCCCAAAGAGGTTTGTCATTGGAAGATCTAGCAGCACTCTCAGGTAAGTTAATTTCAAAATTCTAAAAACATATTCCATTTAATACAACTATTGAGCCAAAAAGGGCACGGAAACAACAGCTTTACTAATTGAGGTAGAGGTCAGACCTGCATGCATCCCATCCCAGAGGCCCTACCTTTGGGTGGGGATACACTAGGTTTGTTTTCGTTTTGGTGGATTGAGCTAAAAGGGATAGAGTAGCGCACCAAGGCTCTTTGGCCTTGCTAAGGGTTGTTAAATAAGTCCTTGCACACAATTTTTTTACTGAAGTAACTGCTCTACTCTTTGGCGGGTTGAAGACAGATCTGTGTACTTCCCACCCCTCATAAGTAAGACCCTATTTCAAGTGGGATATACTAGGTTCGTTTAATTTGGTTAAAATTATCTATCCACCTATTATCATCATTACAAATAAATTGATGGCATTGATTTGTGTCCACAAACTTTTTTTTATTCGTCTTTGGTGAAGGTATTTAAAAGATCTGATAGATGGTCAAACATTTTTCAAGAACTTTGTGTCAAGTCAAAAGTTGCAATTTTCATGGGACAAAGGAGTATCATACAACTATAAAGTTGCAAAAGAACAGAATATGTACTTTCCTAAAGCCAAAAGAAGTTATTGTACATACCTTGTTCCTTAGGTGCGCATACTCTCGGGTTCTCGCATTGCTCGTCATTCAACAACAGAATTCACAACTTCAACTCCACAACCGACATTGACCCTTCGCTCCAGCCTTCATTTGCCGCAAGTTTAAGACGTGTTTGCCCTGCAAAAAACAATGCAAAAACCGCGGGTGTCCCAATGGATCCTTCATCTACTACTTTTGATAATACATACTACAAATTGATCTTGCAGCAAAAAGTTCTATTTTCTTCGGATAATGCTTTGCTCGGTTCCCCCAAAACCAAAAGTTTGGTATCCAAGTTTGCCAGCTCAAAGGATGCTTTCTCGAAAGCATTTGTGAAGTCTATGATCAAGATGAGCAGCATAACTGGTGGTCAGGAAATCAGGAAGGACTGTAGGGTTGTAAACTAAGCATTTCGCCTACCTATAAAGATGTATAAAATGTATGTATTTAAACCTCTAGAATAGAGGGGAGCCGGCCTTAGTTTCTATTCAGAAACATGGAAATCATATCCAAGCTATCGCAGGTATATGATGTATAATTCTATTGCAGTTATAAGAAGGAACATTCAAGTTTATGATATCGAAGTAATCTTACATTTAGATACGAAGTTCTTATGAAAAGCAAGACAGGTATTGGATGTATATTCAACAAGCTTATTGCTATAGACGGAATTGTTATGACTATCAAGACATAGGATCCGGCTGGTATAACACCTCATGGCCCTTTTGGTGTGCGGAACTTGGAATTAAATTCCATTCCTACGTTTGGTTTGAAGGGGAAGTTTGGATTTAAAATCCCAGGATCTAAATGGAATCCCACAACCCACAGATAAAGAAATCCCTTGGAGATGACTGTCATTTTAAATTCAAATGCCACGAATTTCAATTGTTTCCATCGCATCTCTACCCCGCCTCTTTCATCAAATTTTCCATAAACTATCCATCGCCTCCAAACAAACAAATATTTACATAAAGTTCAATTCCATTCCAAATCCTACAAACCAAGCACACCAAAGATTCCAATCCTTCCACAAAATCCAAATCCCTCAAAAACATTATGTTAAACCAAATGGTCCCTTAACAGTTCAGCACAATATTTCAATCATGAAAGAACCTTTTAGTTGCATGATTAAATCAATAGAAAGTTCATGTAGAAACAGCAGTATGGTACATGATTATGCAATAGAAATACAACAATAATGCTCAAAGTATACAAGTGATATATTAATACTATTGCTTAATCAAAGCACCAAGAGGAAGGTCCTTTGGTTGAACAACCTTAAATGAGTTTTCAGTTAGGAGCATGGCCTTTTAATTTTTTTTTTTTTTTTAACTCAATGACCTTCATCTGACCTGCTCCTGGTGTATTACAGTCTGCCCCTGATGTAAAACAACCTGCTCCAGAAAAAACTTGAAAATACACTAGCGGGTCATTTTGCAAAACCAACTTCAGGACATTGAGCAAAATACCCCACCAACAGGATTGGCTACAGCAAACATAAACCATTTCTTACTTCCAAACAGTGTTTTATCATTATCTAATCAATCACAAATCTACCCGAAGATGTTTTGGTGGATTTTTTTTAAATAATACAAGTCTCAGATTCTAAGAACCAATAATTAAGTTGGAGAGTGCAGTGATCAAGGGAAAAAGTGAACATCAAGCAAGCTGCACATGTTTTCTGTGTAGTGTTCAACCATCTATACTCAACTTTATGCTACTTGTCTACTATCTTTACATATCTCCAGAATATTTCTGGTATAACAGTTCTAGTCGTTGTCACGAAAAGGAAAAGGAAAAGAAAAAAAGGAGTTAGATGAATATACTAGATTAAGTGTATCTATATAAAGATGACTACGAGTCAAATATTTCTTATCATTCTGTTAAAAGTTACAGTAATTTTTAAGAATTTTGGTTAATCCTAACCTATCCTATACTTACATAAGAATAAAGGACAATCATGAGAAATAAAAGATAGTCCTCTTAAAGTTGTAAACAGCACATTTGACCCTTAATCTATGCATGCATTTAACGTCAACAGTGATTCTGAATAATGCCTAATTTGTTTCATTAATAGTGATCCTGTCTCCCCAAGACTAAGACAGGCAACCAAATTTGGAGGGCCACATGTTGTTTGGAAGGCATTTATGATATGCATTAAGAGAAGTAGGATGAGAAAGACTGTACGGTGGTGATTTGAAGACTGATGAGGAAGAGTATGGAACCATATGCAATTTATTGCATATCTACAATAGTCATCAAGCATACAAAAGGATCTGTTACAACTTACAAAACCATGTTCGACAACCCTAAGCTAGCTTATTCTTTGAGCTTATTTAAAAAATTGAACTTCTTAAAACAAAATACGACAAATTTGTAAAAAAATTACTAGACACAAAAAGTGAAACAAAATTAATAACTGTGAATTAGAACTTTTACATTAATTTCATTTTACGTATTTAATAAACTCATGTCATGCATCTATCTACAGGCCCAAGCCCAATATTATGCTATATACTCTAGAAGGGAAATTGGAGGGGTAATTTGGTAATTTGAAATTCCAGCAATTCTTTGATAAGTACCTGTTCATTTTAATGTTTGTCTGATCCTTGATTTGGTTTCATAACAACTTATTGAAACAAAATACAATAAACTAATATAATCGAGTACAAAACATGTTAATCCAGAGAATGAGTTGGGTTCTTGTTTAAGAACCTCCCGAAGAACCACGTAGGGGTGGTGCCTAATTGGTTTGAGCTTGGCTCCAAAAGTCAAAAGTACTTGGAGGTCTAGGTTCAAATGCGATGACTCCAGAGAGGTTCAAATCCAAGGAGGAATAAAAATCTCCTTGTAGAAACCGAGGTTCAAATGCGATGACTCCAGGCTATCTGCAAAGCAGGTGGTCGCCCTGGGATTAGTCGGTTCGCATAACGGGTTGGATATCCAGGTTAATAAAAAAAACTATGGTGTTCTTATAAGAATCTCATGAAGAACCTCAAAAATTGTCATTGTGGATGCTCTAATTTACTATATTTGCACTAGATTACTATATATAATTGTTTTATATATAAAAATCCATATCTATAATTATGATATAAAATGCAATGAATGTCCATAAAACTTACATATTTAAAGAACTCTTTATTTTATTCCTACTTATTTTAATATAATAAAATGAATTAGTGGTTTGTTTTAATTACATTATGTAATGTTAAAATTGATTAATTTTTTAACATGCCTTTTATGATTATTTTACATTTGTCAACTATTTTATAAGCTAGTTTTGCTAAACGTGATTATTTATAGGCTAGCTTTGCAGCCAATAGCTACCTTATCAGCCAACAACTAGTTGTCAAACATAGCCCAAGTTTAGAAACAGAAGAAGCATATTTAAAATACATGTTATTTGAACATTTATATGCTTCTATATTATATTCACCTTCAGCTAGTACATTCTATCTTAAGATGGGTGCAATTAGGGCCGGCCCTGGCCATAGGCCCAGGGGGCGACGACCCACGGAAGCATAAAGCCCAAGGGCATCAAATTTCGAAAGCCCAATGTATATATATATAGGTTCAGTTTTCATTTGGGCCTAAAATAAGTTACCGTTACCAGTCCACGTCCATCATCTCTACTCTCGCCTCGCCTAACCTCGCTCTGTCGACTGTCGCTCACTCTCAAAGTCAATCGCAATCAGCAATCGCATACCGGCATACGCTCTCGCTTTCTGCCTGACTCTCGACTATTGACTCCGGTTGCCCTCTCTCGTCTGCGGCTGGCCGGCTGCCTGCGTGCGTCTCTCATTGGCAGGGCCGGCCCTGAGATTTTGGATGCCCACGGCGGAAAGTCAAAAAAATGCCCCTTATATGTGTAAATAAAAACCAAAATAAACTATTCAAAGGGTTTTGGAACCTCGTCAATCTAACAAAAAAATGCCCCTTAAATATAACAAAAATGATGCCACGGGGGAGACATAAACCAAAACCCTGTGTAACAAAATATAAAGTACATCACAATTCACCTAAAACGATGTCTTCTTGCGTTTTTTGAAGCAAAAATATCTATCACTTCGTCATAACTAATGTTAGCTAAAAACTTACTCCCAATACTCAAGATTGCTAACCCGTTCAATCTTTCTTGACTCATGGTAGACCGTAGATATGACTTCAACAACTTTAACTTTAAAAAAGCTTCTTTTCGCAGATGCTACGGTGACCGGTACGGTCAATAGTATCCTGTAAGCAAGCAAGACATGTGGAAACATGTCCATTTTCTTTGCGAACTCCATAATTTGTATCGATGTCCAAGGATTTCCACTTTTAGATGCCTCTTCTGGTAGCATTCCCKGCAAARCTTGTAACTCCATAAACAAATATTCGCCATCAATATCATAATCATTACCATTTGTTAAAGCAAGTTCAAAGTTCAAACAACATTTTTTTAACTCGTCATCATGTAAAGTAACCAAATTTCGCCCATCAAACAAGAAGCCAAACATAGATTCAAATACTTGCATTTGTTCTAATTTGGTTCGTAACTGCAAAAGAGCCATATCAACTAAAACAAGAAAATAATCAGTTCTAAATGTCTCTTGAGCGGATTGTTGTTCTCTCTCCGTATTTGGAATTTCATCAAATTGTTTTTTAATGTATTACAAAATACTTGCATAATTTATTTTCTTAAGAGACATTTAGAACTGATTATTTTCTTGTTTTAGTTGATATGGCTCTTTTGCAGTTACGAACCACATTTGAACACATGCAAGAATTTGAATCTATGTTTGGCTTCTTGTTTGATGGGCGAAATTTGGTTACTTTACATGATGACGAGTTAAAAAAATGTTGTTTGAACCTTGAACTTGCTTTAACAAATGGTAATGATTCTGATATTGATGGCGAATATTTGTTTATGGAGTTACAAGTTTTGCAGGGAATGCTACCAGAAGACGCATCTAAAAGTGGAAATCCTTGGACATCGATACGAATTATGGAGTTCGCAAAGAAAATGGACATGTTTCCACATGTCTTGCTTGCTTACAAGATACTATTGACCATACCGGTCACCGTAGCATCTGCGGAAAAAAGCTTTTCAAAGTTAAAGTTGTTGAAGTCATATCTACGGTCTACCATGAGTCAAGAAAGATTGAACGGGTTAGCAATCTTGAGTATTGGGAGTAAGTTTTTAGCTAATATTAGTTATGACGAAGTGATAGATATTTTTGCTTCAAAAAACGCAAGAAGACATCGTTTTAGGTGAATGGTGATGTACTTTATATTTTGTTACACGGGGTTTTGGTTTATGTCCCCCCCGTTGCATCATTTTTGTTATATTTAAGGGGCATTTTTTTTTGTTAGATTGACTAGGTTCCAAAACCCTTTGAATAGTTTATTTTGGTTTTTATTTACACATATAAGGGACATTTTTTTGACTTTTCGCTGTGGGCATCCAAAATCTCAGGGCCGGCCCTGGTGCAATGAGGAAGTGAAATGCTTTAAATGATTATGTGAGTGGAAAAACTAACTTTCCCTAAATGGATATTGTGTATACAAGTTCTAGCTTAGTTACAATATGATTTTTGCAATAGTTTACAGACGAAACCAGGTTATCCATCTCGGTTCAAACAACTCTTTTGCACAAGTGGCAATGGCATATAATAAGAAGTAAATTGAAATAAGAAAGATGGTTTCTTTTAAAGCCATCTCTCACAACCATGGAAGCAAGAAGTCATAGAGGATCTTTACGCCACCAAATCTTAAGTGGCTATATCGAAAATGCTACAACTACAAGCGATCTTTCCCATCCCCCATCTTACAAAATTGAAGTCTCAAATCTTCAACAGCCATGAAATGGTTTGAGCTCGATTTCACAATTGCAACACTGTTAGAAGTTTTGTTCCAAACCAGTAGGAAGTATGACTGTTGAACGTAAAACAAAATAAACACATATTTGAGTCATCGCTTCTGTTGTACACAAAACCAATTCACCCCCAACCGCTGTTCGATTTCCCTGGATACAACGACTGGAATGGTTCAGTGATGAAGCACAAAACTTAATCACGCCGAAGCTATTAGACTAAGGGTACATTAGTCTTCTTGTATTAAGGGCCTGCTAAGATGCTCAGTTAGTGGTTAAGAGTCTGTTAATTGTTGCGAGATCAAGAGCAATCCAGTGTTGTCTGAGTGATGCAGGAAAAACAGATCATTCTCAGATGTTGGAGGAGGAGAAACTGGATTCAGCATATCAGGGTGTTGGACGGAGAGTGCTTCAGCTCCGATACCATATCAATTCAGAGGGACATGAATTAAGATGAGGGAGAAGAATATTTCTTACTGATTGATTATAAAATAATGATACATCTGATAACTATTTATACTCAGAAAACTACAGTTGCCTAATGATACTTAACAGACTCTTAACCACTAAAAGAACATCTTAACCGACCCTCAATTAAAAAGACTAATGTACCCTTAGTCTAATAGGAGCCTTTACTCTGTTTAAGTTTTGTATCTCGTATATCATTGGTTTCATTACACATAATGTTTTCTGTATTTTTTTGAAGGTTGTAAAACCGAGGTAAGCTTTTACTAAGAAACCGACCCCGAGCCATAAATAGAACGAGAGGACATAACCCTAACACTTGACCTTTTTCTTCTTCATGAAAGCTTGTACATTCAAATCTTGCTAATAAAACCTTTAAAGAGCCATAAGCAAACCCATGATCTCCTAATGTAATGTCACAATCTGAAGACTAGAATAACAGGGCCTAACCACCAACAACACTATTAACCACCCATTTCTTGAACTAGTCACCCACAAAGTACACTATCAACTTAAGCAAAACTATGTAAAAGTAAAAAACTATAAATTAGAATTGGTTCAACAAATGTGATACCTCATCCATCCATCCTGCCACTTCAATTCCATGACCCACTAAAAAGAATAAGTTCATGGTCAAAAGTTTATTTGAAAGCCCATAAATGACAGTAAAATACACTATCCTAATCACTATGTTTGATTCGAGTTACGAAGCCACTTGCATTACCTAAACAACATGACTGGAGTCTGTCAAATATGAAATATGCCATGTAATAATGAACCAACAACAATAGCAAGAATTCCAAGCTATTTGGGGTAATGAAGTACATGTAGTGATATCTAATAAACACAACCACACAATGGACAGCAATGTTCAAGCATGGTTTAGATCTCTACTTTGTTTGAATCATCAGTTAACTGTAGTGACATGCAATCCCATTTTTGGAAGCCAGGCAATAAGGTTCCATCAGCAAGATGTTAGTTGATGTTACACACAACCATTTCATACTCTCTCACATAAGCATACAATGAAGCATATCCCCAATTAGACTAACAATGAACCGAAAGCACCAACATTCGACTCTATATTTTTGTGAGATTATGAAATTTTCTCCGCTAGAACATCACTATACTTCCACACGAACAAGCCCTATTATGTTTTCCATGCTCTGTACAATTTGCCATAGCTGTGACGAAAATAGTGAATCACGAAAGAGGACCATTTTAGGTCTGTCCGATTCACCACTTGTTTGGTTACTAAGGAACGATGATTTCCCTAAAAATCATTACCATCATGCGAGCCAGTTCCTAGATGTGATCATTTCTACTACAGTTTACTCTGAATTCTGTATTAGGAAACGAAAATGAAAGAAGAAAGTTCATAATGAGTCAAAACCTCGATGACGGTGACGACGAAGTTGTTTGGAACTCCGATGGGCTCCACCGCCTATGCCGCCGTTAACTTCCAAACCAGAAGTTACCCGGCCAACGGTTACGTTCATAATTATCCTTCTGATCTGGAAATGACTGAAAATTCCCAAATAACCCTTGAAGTTGTACTCATATCCAAAAAAAGCCCCTTGACATATGAATTTGCATTAGGGCATCTCCCACCGACCACTATAAGGGCAGTATAAATAGGTTTGTCGGTCATTCTGCTTCAACCGATCGGCATTTTGATTCGCATTTTGTATTTTGAAGTAGATTGCCCCCGATACGGTTTGTTGGTCATTCTGCTTCAACTTTAATAGTTTGTTTTTCAACGTATAATACATTCTCTTAATTTTATAAGAAAGCTTAGGGTCGTTTACCAAACATTTTTATCCCGATAAGCGCTTATCAAACCATATTACTTTAGCAGATGAATATGACAAGTACCAAGAATCTTAACTGGTAAGATCGAAGGCAATGACCGAGGTCTTACCCGATAAGTGAGGGCGACAATTCTTACCATGGTTAGCGCTTACCGGGTAAATTGTTGCATACGATACCATTTTGAAGGACTAAAATCTTACCTGATAAGTAAGTAATAGTGTAAATTTTACCGGTAAGCGTTTACCTAGATAAATGTTTAGTAAACTGTCCTTTGGTATGTTCTAATAATTGCATCAAACATATTATATCCTCAAGAATTGAGCTTCTGAAAGTAATGTCCCCAATATATGAATCAAAATAGAATACGTTTATTGCAATTTGTACTTGCTGCAATTCACCAGTATTTTTCTTATTAATCACATTGTTGTTGTAAGAAATGTTAAGGTTACAAAGTTTTTGTACGGGAATTTAAATATAAACACCCAAAATAAATATAATTATTAAATATTATTTCGATAATCTTTACATATTATTAATAATATATTTTTGATTTACAATGTTTTTTTTTATTATTAATGACTGTTTTTGCATACTTGATTTATGATCAAACACTTGTTATAAAACATTGTATTTAGTATGAAACTGATCGAAATAATGTTTAATAATTACTCAAACTCAAATCATTTTTTTCTCAAATTTCATGTCTCATATTTATTCATCAATCAAAATAAGACACATTATTAGAAAGTAAATAAAAAAATAAATATATATCAAATAATTAAAGTTTTATTTATACTGGGGCTTGATTCAAAGTTTCCAAAGTTTGGGTCTAAAATTGCAAATATTATAAATTCAGGGGTCCACCAAGTAAATTGATCGCCAAAATGAATTTCAAAGTTCAAAACTCTTCCCCCCACCCCCACCCCCGGCACCAAACCTCTCTCTCTCTCTCTCTCTCTCACACACACACACACACCCCAGGGAACAATGGAGGAAAGCTCAACTTCAACTTTGAAGCTGATGATAGAGAAAGGACCAAGAGAAGGGGAAACTCTACAATATCCATCGGGGATTGTCGTCAAAATCGGCCGTGTAGTTCGTGGCAATACCATCGGAATCAAAGACGTCGGCATCTCTTCCAAACACATTTGCATCAAATTCGATAATGAATTGTGCAGATGGGCTCTTTCTGATCTTGATTCTTCGAACGGTACTATTTTGAATGGGCAAAGTCTTAGGCCTTATGTTCCTGCCGGTCTCAAGGACGGTGACTGTATTAAGATCGGCGAGTTAACGTCAATTCTTGTGAGGATTGGAGTTGAAGCAACTATTCGGTCGGAAAGGAAACCTAGGCGGCAAGGAAAATCTGGAGCTGGAGCTGGAGCTGGAGCTGCTGCTGTTGTTAAGAGTGAAAGGAGCGGGTTAGGGTTAGGGTTAGAGCTTGATGGGAATTTGGGTAAAAATGCGGTCGAGGCACCGGTAGAGAAGCGGAACTTGCGTACTAGAGCTAAGAAAGCCGTGGATTTGAAGAATGAGGTGGAAAGCTTGAGTTCAAAGAGGATACTGAGAAGTTCCAGGAAGGAAGAGAAGGTGAGTTTCGTTCCTACATTGAATGAAATCCCTGAAGGTTTGAATCTAGAAGAAACAAAAGCAACAGACCTTATTGTTCCCGTAGAAAGTAAAAAGACACGAGAGAGGAAGAGGAAGCTGCCAGTTCAACTTCCTCAGGATCCTGATAGTGTTGTTCCAATAGATGGTAGAAAAACTCGAAAAGGGAGAAAGGGTTTGCCAGTGGAGCCATTGGAAAATGTACAAAACAGTGGTTTGGACGATAATTTAAACAAGGCAGAGGAATCTGTTCGAGTTGATGCGGCCGAGCAGCCAAAATCAACACAAGGAGCTTATGAAGCAAAGGAGGCGGCATGTGATAAATATCCAGTGGATCCATTGGAGAATGTAGAAAACAGTGGAATGGAAAGGAATTTGGACACCACCAATGGATCTGCTCAAGATCTTGTGGCAGAGAAATTGGTGTTGATGCACGAAGGTTGTGAAGGAAAGGAAGCCGCTGTTGATAGAAGTTCACCAAAGGGTTCATCAGAATTAGCACATCAAGTTCATGTGGATAAGGGAAAGGAAGTTGCAGAGGAGTTAGAATATAGGCAAAATGGTTGTGAGGATCTGGTGAAGGACATTGGCTCTGATAGTAGTCAGTGGCTAGATTTGGAGAAGATGACACTAGGGGAGTTTTTTGATTGCTTGAAAGGGCAACTGCCTAAAGAGATATATGAGAAGTCAGAAAAAATCCTTTCACATCTTAAAGAGAATGCCCGAAAATGTCACGAGTTTAGGCTTCAAAGAAATGAAATACGGTGAGGGTAAACAAGCTATGGGCTAGACAAAGGATGATTGCAAAGAGAGTCAAGCTTATTTGGTAATTAATTATCTAACTTCCAGCTCTTAAATTCCTCACAGTATCCGAAGCTACATTCCTGTTGTATCTGTTGGCTCTTTGTTTTTTTATGGAATTGATGCCTGGCTTTTGGTTGACCATGCCCATTGAGTCCAAATTCACTGACACAAACACCAGGCAAAGCTTTGGTGTGGCCCACACAGAGGATGTTATCAACTAGAGCTTGAACCTGGGGATTGAGATGTGAAGTACCCAATTTGTTGCTAGCTTGGCAACCCTTGGGGGTTTGTTAGCCCTTGATCTCTTGCACTTGCTTGAGATCAAAGCTGGAACAACTGATTAGGCCTATGACAAATTAGTTTTGATTGTGCTACATGTTGTTATAAATGCAATGGAACTTTAGCTTACTTCGACTTTTCACCATTTGATATTCAAGCTCTTTAGCTGATTACTGAAACTGGTGGAAAGTAATTGTGAGATTTCCTGATGAGTAGTTCAGATTCTGCTTATTTTAAATGTTATTTCAACATGATATATCATATATGATATAAATTCATTTAGTTGTGTTTTTGGTAAGCAGCTTGTTTACGAACTCTCTTTTGTACTGATTAAAGTCGGACCAGAAGTAGTTTAGAGTGACCGGAAAGTGAGCAAGTCATTCGAAAAGAGATAAAGAGAAGAATATTGAAAGAAACCCCTTAAAGTCGTTTTACTTTTCACTTCTTTTAATTTTCTGGTTACACATTTTCTCAGAAGCCCTCACCTCATTGATGTGCTCTAGAGCCTTGCTCTTTTCTCAACTGAATCAAAGGGGTTCTCATTCTTCCTCTGGTGGAGATTGGGGTTTCACTATTCTTCTTTTTGTATTTTCTTGGTATGATTCTGGTTGGGTCATTGTTGAAGATCTTAGAAGAACCCAATATTTAAAATGAATTGTTAGAGATGTGGTGGTTCTCAAATCTCACTCATGTTTGTTTCTGTCTGTTTTCTTGGCTTTTGGTTGGTTATTCATTGAAACTTAAATGGACCAATTGTGCTTAGTTTCTAATCTGTTTTCTTGGCCTGTTGGTTCTCCAGTTATGTCTAACGAGTCCTTATATTATGTCTTCAATCTCTACCCCTTGCTACGTTGGCTGAGTTCAGGCCCTGCTTGATATCCTCAGAATGGAGACCCATTCAGAGGCTCTGACCGATTTCCCTTTCAATGTGTTTGATAATTCAAAATGCTGTCCAAACTCCCTCCACCCTATCCTCATTCAGCGAGTTACTTTTCCCATTTTATTTTATTTATGATGTGTTTTATGGAAATCTATGTTATTTATGTAAACCCTGTTTTGTAAGTTTTGACTCGGTACTTTTGCTCATTTTACGACTGTTTGTTGGCCTGAGGAGCCAATAGATATCTATCAGCTTCTATGTTGTTTTACTATGAATTTCTTGTGCAGCTATTGTTTTGCTGCCATTGTTAGGTAGCTTGATACATATTTGTTAAACTAGCCTTCTATGCATATGGTTGAATCTTGATAAAATTGACCACAACACATGAAAAAATGGGGAAGGGTGTGATTGTAGATGAGAAATTAGGGGCCATAAATTCCCAATATCTGCTGCCTTGTAATGAGTTATGCTCTATGCCATGTTGTATGTGTGTTTTAATATGTACATACTTTAGTTCTTTTTCTGCTTTGTTTTCTCTATTAAACACCAGTATTTAGCATCCATTTGCATTGGTAAGTAGTGTCATACAGGTGCATTCATCAAATACTTAGATTTGCATTAAGCAAATGCTTTGTTTTGTCTGTATATATACTAGCACACCAACCTAAAACTAAACAGCAGCCGACCTAACTAAATTAGTTACAATTACATCGGAAAATTACATAAATACCCTCCTTGATGTCCAATACGCCCTTTCAAGATGACGTACACTATGAATATTGTGTAACTTCATCATTGAGAACAAAAGAGCTTTAGTAAACATGTCTGCAAGCTGAAAATGGGATCTTATTGGCATCACCTTGATTGTCCTATCCAACACATTTTCTCGAACAAAGTGGCATCGATTTCAATGTGTTTAGTTCGTTTATGAAACATGGGATTAGAAGCTATCTTGATTGTTGACTCGTTGTCACACAAGAGCAGCATCAGAGTAGTAGAGATAACACCGAAATCTTTGAGCAACTGCCTTAACTAAACCAATTCCCAATAAGCTACAACCATCATTCTGTATCCAGTTTCAGTAGAGGAACGTGAAACGACCAGTTGTTTCTTGGATTCCCAGGAGATCAACGAATGCCCAATAAACACGCAAAAACCAAAAAGCCCGAAGTTGAAATGAAGAATTTGCTGATATGAAAATTCCTTGTCTAGGCTATTGTTTGATGTAGCATAAGAGCTGGACAGTGGCATGCCAATGATCAGTCCGTGGAGAAGACATAAATGGCACAAGCTTGTGAACAGTAAACTCGATATCCAGTTGTGTAAGTATGATGTATAACAAACATCCCACCAAACGTCTATGCCTGGAAGGATCATGATAGTGATCACCTTTATCAATTGATAAATGAAGTTGAATATCAAAAGGGATCGTTGATGGTTTAGCAGCCACTAGTTTAGTATCCTCCAACAATTGAAGAACATATTGTCATTGAGACACAAATGCCTTGTTTAGAGCGGGCAACTTATAAACCCAAAAATTACTTCAAGTTGCCAAGATCCTTGAGCTTGAAACGAGTACTCAACATTCCTTTCACTTTACCTATAGAAGATGGATCTGCAGCTATAATATCATCTACGTAAACTAAAACGACAACATATGTGTTGCCTGATCCCTTGTAAACAAGAGAATAGTGAGCCTTCGATTGTGTGACCCCAACAACAATTATGAACTCAGAAAACTTGGCATACCACTTGATGACTGCTTCAAATTATAGATGGACTTATTGAGTTTATAATCCATATGAGATGCCTCCTTAACCAGTAAACCCTAAGGTATGGCCATATAGACCTCATTTAAACGCGTTGTTAACGCCTAGCTGAAGCAATTCCTAGTTATTGATAGCAGTGCTAGCAAGTAGAGTTTGAATAGTAACAGATTTAGCCACGAGGGAGTAAGTGCCCGCATAATCAGCTCTTTCCTGTTAGGTGAAACCCTTAGCCACTAACCTGACTTTGTGTCGTTCCACACTACAACTGAATTGTACTTCAACTTATACACCCATCTGTAGACAACCATGTGTTTCCTTCTGGAAGTGGAGCAACATACCATGTATTATTACTTTTCATTACTGCTAGTTCTTGTTACATGGCAACAGTCCACTGGTTATGCTTAACCACTTCAGCAAACGATTTTGGCTCAAAATTGGATGAAATGGTTGTAGAAAAAGCATTGAATGAAGAAGATAGATGATCATATGATTAATGATCGGATGATATCAAGATTGTTGAGGACAATGGACATGAACATTACAATGGAAAGCCCGTAGGTAAGAGGGTGGTCGACATGCGCTTCTCAATTTCCTGGTCACGGGCTGAATTTCTGGCATTGGAGGATTTGGTGAACTCTCAAGAAAACCTTATGTGTCCTCGCTTTCATAAACATCACCTTGATTATTTTAAATATCGACCTATTGAGGATTTGGATTTTGGAATGGCAGTGGATCATATCTTGATTAAGGCTGTAAATGAACTGAACATTCAACGAACTGTTCGTGAAATGTTCGGCGGGAAGTTCGTTTGTTTAATAAACGAACGAACATGAACAATTTTTTTTCGTAGTTAAACGAACGAACATGAACAAAAGTCTCATTCGTTCATTTATGTTCATGAACATTCATTCATTTACTGTGTTTACGTTCGTTTATGTCCATTTATATATTAAATTTAATATATAATCTTTTATTTATTTAGTTTGAATTCAAATAATATTTATTTAAGTTTTAATTTTTTAGAATTTATTTAGATTTAAATTTTATCATCATTTTGTCTTATTTGAAATTTTTACCTTTTCACTTTTCACTTTTGTCAAATGATGGTGGTTGATGAATGGTGTTTGTTTTGTGTATGTTTAAACTATGGATAATTAGTATGTAATAGTTAATTGAATGGCAAGTAGTGGTGCTCGTTTGTTTATGTTCGTTTAGGCCTGTTCATTTAGGCTGCGTTTAGTACATGGGACGAGACAGTACAGGACGGGACAAAACTCACTGTCCCATGTTTGACGCAACATGGGACATAACAAGAACACATCGTTCCACGTTTGGCATGACATGGGACTGGGACAAAAACTGGGACAAGGTGGAACAACATAGGACAAATGAGGTTTTTTTTTGTTCCACCAAAATAGGTGGAACAAGATGGGACAAGAATGAGACAGAAACTAAAATATTACTAATCTATCCTAGTTTGATATATAACCTTAATATGATATTTGTTTTAATGGTCATTACCGCTAGTTTCGGCCGCCGCCACCACTACCGGCGATCACCGGCGGCCACCTCTACCTCTACCTCCTCTTCCACTATAACAACATTCTCTAGCGTCTCCACAACCACCGTCCACCAAGTCCATTGCCACCTCTACCATAGTCGACCATCGTTCATTGCCGCCACCACTACCACCGTTCGCCACCTTCAACTCCTTTTCTACTACAACAACCTCCTCCACGACCACCATCGGCCACCACCATTCATTGCCATCTCACCTCCACCATACCCACCACCACTACTATCTTTACTACATCAACCACAACTACCTCCTCCACCGTTATCAATCGCCACCTCCACCACAATTTACCATCTTCATGTCCTCTATAACCACCGTCGTCCACCAAGCACCACTGCCTATACCTCCATAACCACTGTCGGCCACCGACCACCATCGCCCGTTACCACTACTACCGTCGGCCACTGACCACCACAGCCCGTTGCCACTTCTACCGTCGGCCATCACCACCTTCACCACCACTACTACTACCATCAATTATATCAAAATTTTCATTCAAATTTGGTACAAATATGAAAATTATGTACAAATATTTATAAATTAAATTATTTAATTATTTACTTTATTTGTGTTAATTATAACTATTATATAATAATTAAAATCATCAAATTACTTTTGGGGGTAGTTTGTCTAGTTTTGTTTCGTTCAGTCCTAGTCCTACCAAACACCAGACATACTTCTATTATGTCCAGGCCTGTTCAGTCAAGTCCTGTACTGTCCAATTATGTATGTGTACCAAACGCTATCTTAGACATGTTCATTCGTTTAGCTTGTTAACGAACGAACATAAACGAACACGAACACACCTGATTTCTAAACGAACGAACAAGAACACATATTTTCGTTCGTTTACTGTTATCGGTTAAGTTAAACGAACGAACATGAAGAAGTCTCTATTTGTGTTTGTTCGGTTCGTTTACATCCCTAATCTCGATCAACGTAAAATAAATCATGAAAAAGAAATGCATTTTCATGAAAAATGACATCCCATGAATAATTTTTGTCTTGTCTGTAAATCCATCAGCTTGTATGCTAGCATATGTGATGGAAAACCGAGTAAAACAAAATAGATCAATATGAAACCCCAACGACCCTAAAGGTCCAGAGACCTTCTTAATCAAGATGAAACCACAAGGACGAAATTTGTAATTTAATTTATATATAATTATAATTATTATACCCAAAATAGATCAATATAAACACAGAGTCTATGTCAATAAGACAATAACACATATTTTCAACAACAGGACACGAATCTGAATCATTGACTGTGCATGATTGAGGTATTAAGGGATATGAATGAGAATTATTCAGTCTTCTGTTGGTATTACGGTATCAATTATTTGTGGTACGGGGCTGTGAACCACTCGTTACTAAATTAGAGGGAATAAAGCCTTATTCCCTAGTTTTATCTTCACACCTCCTAACCCATCGACCATCATCCCTCCCTCATTCCCAACCATCGACCGGCAAGATATTGTTGCCACCATTTACTATTACCATGAGAGATCGTTGTCATGAACCCTAACTATCCTCGCAAACCCTAAACAAAGCCATTGTTGTTGTGAAGATACAACTATTACAATTTACAAAACCCTACCTTTTCGAAATCTGTCAAGTTTAGGAATTTTTGGGTTTTCTAGTAAGATTTTTGTTGTTTCTCGAAAATCTTTTGTCGATACAAAAAAATTCTTCTAGAGTTTTGTAATGCATACTTGAATAACCGATTATACCCTCGTGTTTGCCTTCACATTTAGATTTGATGATTTTGATTTGATATTTTCTCCATCATTCCCCATGTCACCAAAGCATGAACAATGCAACGGGAAATACCCTTTCCCAATATCGAGGTGGTTGTTGCCATCACCACTATAGATAAGTATGACATTGAACGTTTCTCCATTTGCTTCATGTAGGATTGGTGTTGTGAGCGAACACGAACGGATGCTTGTTCGTGTTCATTCATTTAACTCAGTTGAACAAACAAACACGAACGGTAAACAAATAATTTTTTTTTTTGTATTCATGTTCGTTCGTGAAAAAAAATGTGTCTGTTCATGCTCGTTTATGTTCGTTCGTTAAGATGATAAACAAACGTAAACATACGAACATAAACGGACGGACACAAACATACCAAAAGCAACTACCATTACTCATTATTTCGTTTCTAAAAAATAACATAGCAAATTGAAAAATGGGTTAATATAGGAGAGATAAAAAAATTAATTTTAAAAATTTAATTTTCACGTATTGATTTCATAATATATGGAGTAAATTACACTTTTGGTCCATGTGGTTTCTCGAAAGTAACAATTTTCGTCCCTACGATTTCAAAATTACAGTTTTGTCATTGTGGTATGCAAAAACGACCAGATTTGATCTCTCACTCTAACGAACATTAAAAACAAGCCGTTAAATCAAAGGGATTTTAATCAGGGGTATTTTAGTCTATTTACATCCTTCTGACATTTTACTTTAAAAAAAATAAATAAATAGTTAAATCAATCCCCTCCCCCATTTTTTTTACCTCCGGCAACCCAAACCAAAAACTCTCCGGTCATCTTTTCCGGCGACCACCACATCCCCTCACCCAGTCATCTTCCCAAACCATGAAACACATGCTAGTCCATTCACACCCAAACTCAAAATCAAACCTAAATCCAAACCTCAAAATCAAAATGACGACGCAATTAAGGGATGAAGAAGAAATGAAAAGACAACCAACACTCTCCAATAATCTTTTTGATTCTCTACAGAAACTCTTCAATCATCTTCTCTATTCTAGACTCTCATATTACCGGCCAACATAAACGTCGACCACTCCCTTCTATCGAACCTAGAACACAAAACACACCTCTAGCGTTCGAACTTCCCACATCCTATCTCCAAACCTAGGATAAACCTTGTCCCAACCCACCAAAGCCCTTCGATACAGGGATGGTGATTTACTCCGATCGGGTGGGGAACCCGGTTCACCCGACCCGAAAGGGAACGGGGATTGCCCGCTAAAATGGGTCCTAGGACCGAGGCCAGGGATCCCCCCTAGACTCAAACCGGGGTTGGGGTTGGGGCCGGGCCCATATCTCCCGACCGTCCCGTATCCGGTATATAATTTTATTAATATTTTTTTATATAATATATGTATAATATATATATATATATATATATATATATATATATATAGTATTTATTTTCTAAAATTAGGTCTTGACTAGAGATGATGATCGGGGTTTGACAAGAAAATAAACCGGGGACGAGATATTAATCCCCTTACCCGTTGGGGACCGGGCCGGGAGCTTATGGGTTGTAGGGCGGGTGCTCATGGGTTGAGTTGATCGAGTTGAAGACATTTGAACAACCCAACCCAATGCTTGCGGTTTGAAATACTAACCTAACCCAAACCGTACGGGTTCATCGGGTTAGTCGTGTTGATACTTTGGTACATTCAAATATTTTTCTAACCTTGAATATGTTATTTCTTTACACATATTTTTTTTTAATCATCTATCATTTGATACAACTTATCTGTACTTCTTACGTATATCACATTTAATTAATTTTCTCAATATATATATATATATATATTCACAGTTACTGAACATATATACGAATGAGTTATATAAAGATGAAGAATAGATTGAAAATATGTATATATGAATGATCGGGTTGGTGAGCACCTCTACCTACAACCTCTCAATCCTTTACCCTGCCTCCTTTCCTGAATCCCGATCCCTTCTTCGACGCATCCTCTCCGACCAACCCCCTATCCCCACAACGACATCTATCATTAAGTTTTAAAAAATTCTTTAAATTTGAATTCTTTTTTATTTTCTTAATTTTAAAGAACATAGAAGTGTGCAAAACTCGAATTATTTGAAATCTGAACCCAAACACGAAATGGAAATACGATATTTATGTAAAACCCGAATGCCCCGAAATTCGAGAATCCGAAAACCAATTTTTTGGGAAAATTTGGGTTCCGAAAATTAAAGTTTGATTTCCATATCGGAAATCCGATCGGGTTTTTAATTTTCCCATCCAAACCCGTCTGATAGGATTGATACACACTCCTTTTAAAAAACAATCTATTAAAACAAAATAAAAAAATAAAAAATAAAAAATAAAATGTGTTGTTTTCTCTTTTTAAAAGAAGGGTGTAGCCGATTCGATTCAACAGGGTCCGGTGCCAACAAGTCAATACCCAGCGACGAAACCCTGTGGGCCATGGCCAATACCGTTTGACTGGAACCAAAATTACACAAAAGGAAAGGGGCATTTTCGTCATTATAGGACCACAAGAGAGGGCAGGGCAGAATGCAGATATAGGGGAAACATGGAGAGAGAGAAAGGGCAGAGATAGATACAGCCCAGTCTGTCTCTATTTGTGTGTGAACTTCATCCTCCGCCGTGCTCTGTGTAATCGCATATTCCGGTGACCTTTCAACCCTAAAATCTCCTCAATATCCAACCGCATTCTCACTCGATTGTTTCTCAACTTTCGTCCTCATCGATTATCGATCACAGATTTTTGTTTTGTTTTTCTTCTTTCTCGTTTTGATTTTGTTTTCTTATACCGGTCATCACTTGTGAACTTGAAACCCTAATTTATTCCAGAAGAAGTTGGAAATTTTGAAGTTTGTTTATTTTGATCCAAACGAACCCTAATATTTGATGGCCGCTATGAATTTTCAATCCGACGATAGCGGCGGCGGCGTCATTAAAAGCCCTAGGTCTCCGGGACATTCACAAACGGTTTCATCTCCGTGGAGTTCGATTGTACAGGGTTCTCCGGTTATTGTATCGGATGCTGTTTCCGCGGCTCCGGTTTCTGTTGCTCCAGCACCCACGTTTTCATCTTCTGTTGAGGAGCAAATAGGTAACTTTACCTCAGATTGGTGTCCGCCTACAACGGTGCCGGAGATAGCAAGCTCACCGGATGATTCTGGCACTGATGGGCAGGGTTCTGACAGTGGTGGTGTTGGCAGCAGCAGTGCATCTAAGAAACCCGTGTGGAATAAACCGAACGGTGTCGTTGAGGTTGTGAGTCCTGTAATGGGTGCAGTTTCTTGGCCTGCTCTCGGAGAGTCTACTAAGGCTTCCCCAAAATCTTCCTCGTCGGATTCCTTAAAAGCTCTTGCAGATGGACCATTGCCGCCTGCGTTACAGGTGGTACTACCATTGATCTACAACTTTCACTCGTCCATAATTGTTTATCATTCTGCTTGTATGCTATTATCTAACACACGCACATGTATACACCAGAATGATGATGAAGTTTTAATAGGCATTGCATGTTCCTAAATGCTTGTACATTTGTCAATACTCCTGCTTTATAAGCTAATGTCCATACGCAGTTCTCAAGGTCAACAGTTCTTGCCTTTTACTTTATACAGACCCCATTGATAAGGAACGGCGCTAGTCAATTCGTTTGAAATTTGAAACTAATCAATTATTACAATCATGAAAGACAGATTTTCGAGGTTAAATTTTGGGCCTGTATGATGTTTCAATATGGAATAATTGGGCTGTTGCTGTTTTTTGCCTTCAGCTCCATATTGTACATGTGGTATCCATATGGCACATGCACTGGTCTTACTTCTGTGTGTATGTTTGTCATCATAGGTGACTGGAAATTCATCTCCTTCATCTCATAAACAGGCAAGTGATAGTAACTTGCATCCTACATCAACCCCAAACCATGTAGCACCTGCCAGGCAGAGATCTATGAAGCGAGGTGGGAGTTTTAATTCAAATCTATCAGTTAATGGAGGGGCTACTCACATGTCATCAACAAGCCACGATTTGGTAGTGGAAAGTCCCCATAATACATCTCTAAAACCTGGTACTGCTGCTGCAGAATCTTCTCCCAGAGACCAAACACACATTGAATCACAAAGAGGAGGTTTTGGGGCACAATCACATAATGGTAATGATCACCAACATCAAAGACATTCATATAGAAGGGGCAGTGGTGGGCAACATACACGTGTAGATGGTTCTTACCATCACAACTATGGTGGTAAGCGGGATCAAGATCGTGGGAATCACGAATGGAACCAGCATAGTAGAAGTTTTAACAGCAGAGATACCCACTTGCAGCCACAGAGAGGTTACCCTAGGGGGGGTTATATACGGCCCTCTGTTCATGCTTCCACCCCATTTATTCCTCCACCAATGCCTCTGCCAGTGCGGTCTTTTGGCAACAACATGATCTATCCCGGTGAGGCTTACTATAATCAGAATCCTGATTCTATTAATTTTGTAACTTGGCATGATTTTTGAATCCTCTTGTAGATATGCCATCTCCGTTGTTCTATGTTCAAGGTCCACCACCTCCACCTGAGTCCCTCAGAGGTATGCCTCTCGTTGCACCAATTCCACCTCCCATGTACTTTGCTGTACCAGATCCCATGTTGCATGCTAGGATAGTAAGCCAAATTGATTACTATTTCAGGTATGTCCTTCATTAAAATATATTTGAAAGTTGTTCTGTTTAGAAAGATGATCGTTTGTGGCACTTTCAGAGATTTAACAGCTAGCAATCCTCTTCATATTTTTGGCAGCAACGAGAATTTAGTTAAAGATACATACTTGCGGAAAAACATGGATGAACATGGTTGGGTTCCTGTAAGCTTAATAGCAGGCTTCAAGAAAGTGAGTCCTCTGGAAGAACCTTATTAATTCATGCACTTTCTTGTTGATGATTTATTTAATATCAATGTCCTTTCTTGTTGATGATCCATTCAAATTTTCAGATTTTCTTGCACAAATAGGTGGTATTGTAATTTAACCTGTTTTTGTCTTGTATTCTCGATATTTATGTTTTCATAAGAGTTTCTCATTGACAGACCCCTCTGATATGCTTGCAGGGTGTGAGGGTATTTCGTCACTTAATATTGAGGGCTAACTTTTGTTTCCCCTAAATAGTGTTCTCACTATGGATTGTGGTATTTGTTGCTTCATGGTCATAGACCTTATATATTCATGTGCTGTTATAATGATGTTTTATGCACATGAATTTTATTTCTTGAAGATCATATGACTTCTAGAATGTGGCTATAAGTTTTTCCATGGACCTCTTAGTAAAGGTTATTTCTAGTAATATCAGACCTCTAAGGAAATAATTGCCAGTGAGAAAGTACAGGTACTACCTTCTACTCACATTTCTTATCTTCCACTGATGGTCATGTTTCTGCCATTTGATATACTAAATGGTCGCAGATTTGGACTTTGTACTTGTTAAGCCATCATATCTGGTACTCTGCAATATTGTTCATACAGTTAACATGAACTGATGGGAGAAAGAACTAAGATTTGTCATTGAACTAAATTAACTGGAAATGTACCTATTGAGATTTGAGAAGGCTTAACTGTCCATGCGGAGGGGAAAGATTTTTACCACTAGCTTACAGCTTGTTCTCTGACTCATAATTTTAATGTTAGGATATGAATAGGGGACTTAATGGTATGGATATGTTCTTTTGTGATGACAGCTAGGCCTGTCTGATTTTTCTTTTGATCTAGTGTTGTTTGGATAAAGTCATATGTCTGGATAAATGAGATTTGTCCGAAGTAAGTGGTAATGGACAATTGTTGTTGAATGAAGAGTCTGAATGATTGAAAATTACCATTATAACTTTTAGTCTGAAATAAGTTTTCGATTTAAAGAGACTATTTGATAGTCTCAGTGAAAATTCCAAATGACAAAAGTATCAGCTTATGAATTATTTAAAATAAAATTCTACTATGTCATGCTTGTGCAGTTGTACATCATAGGGCTGTTGAGAAAAATGAGGATTTCTAGGGATATGATAGAGGGAACTAAATAGAATAATTATGTCTGAAAACATCAACACCATGACTTACCAATTAAGTCATATTTTCTTAGTTAAGTCACAAAAAAACAACATGATATGACTTGCTGAATAGGCATTCTTCTCCTTAAGTTGAATAAGTAGAAAAACAAACCAGAACTTATGAAGGTGCATGCATGCATTATACCGAGGGTTAGAAGCACGATTGTGCTCTAAGTGCATGCCAATTTATTAAATAATATATTAAAATATAGATCTAGTTAAATCCTAATTTACTTTAGAAGTATGACATTCTTATACAATTACTGCAACTAAAAGTGCAAATGGGATATATATGTATATATCGATGCAATCATTAATAATTGTATCTTATTATCCTAGTGGTGACCAACTGATTTTATACCACCTAGATGTTTTGGTCTGGGGGAGCTACCCAAAATCGTTTTTTTCAAGGCATTGCCGGAAGAACTAGTATTCAATTGAAGCATGGGATTTTCAATGCATATTTTACTAGTTTTTAAGCAAGTGAAAGGGGAAGTCACTAGATGTATTGGTCAGATGGGAGTGATGGAAAATGTACATTGTTCTAAATATGTGTTTCTTTTTGCCTGTATGATTATATATTTAGTGCTGTCTCTAGTTGATATCATTGCATTGGGCAATGAAGGTTAAACCGGGTAGAGTAAATACATGAGTAAATCCTAGAGGTGACCAGGTGACTTTGTTCCACCTTTTATTTCTGGACTGGGGGAGCTACCACGTATTCTTCTGTTGAGGAACTGCCTGAGGACCAATTATTAAATTGAATCATGAGATTTAATATGCAAAGTTTACTAATTTTTAATGAATGTGAATGGAGTCACTAGATTACTACTACTGGTCTGATGGGAGTGACAGAAAAGGTACATTGCTCTAAATGTGTTTCTTTCTATTTTATTGGATTTATACCTATATGGTTATATATTTAGGGATCTCCAGTCGAAATCTTTGCATTGGGCAATAAAGGTCCAACTGGCTAGATATATATCTGAGATGTGAGCTAAGATTATTTACATCACCTAAATTTCTGGACTGGGGGAGCTACCAGGATGTCTGGTGAGGCAATATCTGGAGAACAGTATTATCTTGAAGCAAGGGATTTTTGATGTATAGTTTACTAATATTTTGTGTAGGTGAAACCGAAAGGAGAAGTCACTAGATGTAGTGCTAATAATCTGATGGGGGTGACAGAAAATTGCACAATGTGTGTTATTTCTATTTTCTTTTTCCTTATATGGTTATGTAAGTAGGGATATCTCTAGTCCAAATCTTTGCATTGGGCAATAAAGGTTGAATTGGGTAGAGTGCATAAATTCTTGTGGTAATACATAGCTTGAGCATGTTGCATTAGTATCTCGATGATGGTGAATGTTTCTCAGGGGCCTGGCCATGCAGAAAGGAATTTAATCATGTCAAAACTTGGAGTGTGTGATATGTGTTTTGCACTTTTGCAGCTAAGAAATCCCCAGTCCTCATAGCATAGGAAGAGACCAATGAATATTGGAAGTTCTAATAGGAATTTCAGTTCACTTTGACTGGGCTGATTCAAAACGGGAATATGTGTTATTGCAGCAATATATGCATAGTGTGGCAGCCATCTAAAGCAAGGTCTGAAGATTAAAACCATCATAAAACTGCCACGTATTCTATGGTTGGAATATATATATATATATATATATCTTGCTGCTTAGTACAATCTTTTCAGCTTTTTAGCTTTATGATGTGGTATAAAAGGGCATTGACATTCTGCCGATTTTCAGTCTTCTGCAATCCAATGTACTTGGGGTATTTGAATAGAACTGCAGATAGATCATGATCTACGTGATTATGTTTGGCACTCTGCCAAGTAAAGAGGTGAAGTCAGTACTTATAAAGCTACATAAAAGGTTCATGTTAGTGATCTTTTCTATTGTTCCATGCATGTTTTGACGGTTGTACTTGAGCATATGGCATGCCTTAGCATGTGGACTTAAGTTGTAGATCATATCAAACATTCTGTAAATAATGGCATGCCTTTTGTGAATTGTGGACAAATTAAAGCATCTTATCTAAGAACTCGGATGACTTGAAGGTGAAGGTAACCCAATTGATGAGGTACAAAGTGATCTTAACTCAATTGTATAATCTATATTGGGGTTGGTGAATATGTAAAATTAAAAGTTTGAAACTGATGAGTAATAAAGAGTTGTGGTAACCAGTTCCCCTGTACGCTTATAGCAAATAATAATTGATGTAATGTGAGTAATCTTACATGGATCCAACAAATTGGCCATGGTCAACCATATTGTTCATATTTTAGATGACAAGTATCAAAAAAGGAAGTATGATTCTCTTGAAGAACGTATATTTTATACATACACATGCATAGTTGTTAAAAGCGTGCTACAAGCATGCATAGGCTCTGAGGCTCATAAGGCTCAAGGTCTTGGGCTTTTTAAGAGTCCAGGCTAGGCGCATTCATGAGGCTCACTAAGGCGCTGCGCCTTGGCCAAGGCACCTTGTGGGCCTAGGCGTGCCTCACAAAGAGTTATTAAACACCTAGTCAAACCCTAATCTTAAATAAGTTTTCTCATCTTCTCAACTTTTAGGGTTTGACTAGGTGTTTAATAACACTTTCTATTTTATTTTGTCCCTAATTAAATATCCACTTCAAGACAATAAGTGCATACTTCCCCATTCTACCCTTAGTTGTGATATGAAGAAATTAATTACTCTCTATTATTAAGGGTAGCATTATTTCATTAAACGTGTAATAATTGTACTTCTCTAAACCGTGTGCCTTTTTTTAATTTTATTGTGACACTGATTTTGGGACAGGGGAGTATTATGTAGATAAGTCAAACCCTAATATTAAATACCCTGTTCTTAGAACTTCAAGTCTCCTATACAAGTACCTAGACCTTAAAAGTTCTCCTCATGACTCATGCTTTAAACCCTTCTCCCTTCTGCCTCTATGGAAGTACTGCTGGTTGCTGCATTGGAGGCTTGTACTTGTTGTCTGTGTGTATACATATTGATAAGATACTCCTCACATTCCTTAGGTCCGTGCCTTGCGCCTAGGCCTCGGGACTCCTTTAATATTGATAAGATGCGCCTGGCATTCCTTAGGCCCGCACCTCATGCCTGCGGCTCGTGCCACGGCCTCAGGTCCCCTTTGCGCCTAAGTGTGCCTTGACGTTAACCACTTTGTACACATGCGGAAGAAGGTAGTACGGTATGTACCGTCATAACATTCACCAACTGTTATGTGTTTGCTAAAATGTTTGGGATCCCATCCACTGCTCAGTGTTCAGATCCTGGTTTCTACGCCACCCATGTGCTTGTGGTGTGTATGCATACTGTTTATGCAAGTGGTGGTTGGTTTGTGCTGAGTGGTCTTTCATGTCATCTGTCAAATAACAACACAGGTTATATGCTACTCATAATTATCATTTTATTTGTTCCGTCTGCAACATACTATGTATCTCGATCAATTATCATCAATAAGGCATGCTTCGAGTTCTGACGCATATTCCACTTTTATCTTTTTATGCTTTCTTATGCGATTGTCATTTTCTGTTGTATGTGATTGTGTTCGATGTGTATTCTTGTCTGCTTATGTTTTCCCTTACTGTTGATAATTTTGGGATAGTTTACTAAGATGATTTCTTTTTGGAATCTTAATTATCATCGTTAATCTGAAGTAGCTGGATCTAACATATATATTAGCTGCAAACTATTTATTTTTGTAACTACAGAGCTTGGGATGAAGACTCAATCTTGATCTATGTGTATCAATGTGGCCCTTCATTATTGTCTGCAATTAGTGCCTGGATTACTTATGTGTTTTGTCTTGACAGTAAGATAACCATTCGCATTGTTACAGGTTTTGTATCTGACAGATAATGTTCAGCTAATACTAGATGCTATGGGAGCTTCAACTATTGTGGAAGTGCAGGTGCGTATGATAGTTACAGAGTCCTCTTTGTCAAATATTTGCCATTAGCTTCTATATTTGTTTCTCCTTCGCATGGGCTGCATTTGGTATGCGAAACAGGTGGGGACATGACAAAATAAACAAAAACTTGTTGTCTCATGCTTTTTGCGATATTAGATTAAGGACAAAACATGACTTAGTAGGACAAAAATTCTTTTTTTTTTCTGTCCCACCAAAATAGGTGGAACAAAAATCAGGGAGATGGACAAGATTGGTAAATTACTAAACTACTCATGTCAAATTAGATCCTTTAGCAAAATTATTTCACTCACCTACCTCACTCTTGTCCGTCTAGTCCTGTATGCATAACAGATGCACCCATAGTTTTTTTAGCTTTTCTAGCTTGACAATGAATTCTAGCGCCCTTTGACAATATCGCCCTGGGTTTGCTGTGCCATGTAGAGGATGTAGTTTTGTGAGTTATCAAGCTTTCAAGGAAGATGAGATTCATGAGCTATTCTTTTACCATCGTGCATTACAGGGTGACAAAATAAGAAGACGAAATGATTGGATGAGATGGCTAATGCACCCGCCTGCTCAATACTCGAACCTGTCGAGCCCTCAGGCTGTTGGGAGGTCGCCTAATCAAGATGTATTGGCATCACAGCTTCAGGGTGTTACACTGGATGAGACGGCCTCAACAAATCAGGATTCTGTCGACACTTTTTTTGGTCGGTCGTCTTCAGGGGAATTCCAGTTGCAACAAGCCGGAGGGGAGGAGATTGGCCACGTGGGTGGTCAACAACAAGCAGGTCCGGAACGAGCAACATTGGCTTGAAGCTTACATGAGACTAATCATATGGCAGAGACGGGTAGACTAAAAAGCAATGTTTTTTAGAAGATGCGGGCTATCCTGGATATCCATCAAGATTTACCGGTAGATAGAGAAATGGTGTTTTCAGAAGCACATGGATAGACAAAGGTAAACATTAAATGAAAAACCAAAATAGAAAAAAAAAACCAAAAAATCAAAAAAAAAAAAAAAAGATTACAAATTTGAAAAAGCAAAAAAAAAGAGGAAAAAAGACTTGAATAAAAAAAGAAAGTGAAAAGGATAGAATATTACGACTTTTCCAATTGTTAAGTCTTGGCTTGTTGGATAAGATGATTTATTTTTGGACGGGTGTTTTAAAAATTATATTTGTCCATTTGCTGTTTTCTTATGTGTTGGGGTTTTTTTATTAACCCGGATATCCAACCCATTATACGAGCCGATTAATCCCAGGGTGACCACCTGCTTTGCAGATAGTCAGGAGTCACTGCATTTGAAACTCTGTGGCCACAAGGGGATTTTTATTCCTCCTTTGATTTGAATCTGGGACCTCCTGGTACTTTTGACCTCTGGAGCCAAGTTCAAACCAATCATGCATCCCTTTGTGGTTTTATGTTGGTTTTTCTTCCACCATCCTTGGCGAAAAGTCTTGGGACCGTCCAGGTGATTGTGGAGATTTTGTGTGCTTATATTACTGTGTTGTCATGTTACTTGCCTAAGCTTACATCAATTTCCTACATCCCTGCCTTTGTTGGTCACTGGGGTTTTCTGTCACCATATTTGGTGACCATAGTTGTTATATGAAAAGCATGGGGTGGTAGTCAGACACAGTTGAAAAGCATAGTTCCTACGTCTTGGTGATTTGCACCCACCAGTCCCTACTTTTTAAAATTACCCTTTCTTCATATCGCTATTTACTTATATGCTATTATTTTTGGTGAATGGAACTTCACTAGAAATGCCAAAAGTGAGCAAGAATCTTTGGATTTATAAACCCTCTTTGGGTCAATCATCCCCTACCCAACAAAGCTTAAAACAGAATAAAACCTAGAAATGACAACATTTATTCATTTTTTAATATTCGATAATCGAACATGGCGTTGATGTTCTGTGGAAATGAAGTTTTAGTACTCATTCTCTAGTCTTTGAATGGGATGGACCTATATTACAAAAGGAAGGGACTCGATTTTGACTCTCGATGGTGATGGTGATAGGATACGAGAATCTCAATTGGGGACGATAAACTACCTCATATCTCTCTTCTTTCCATACATTTAAAGTCCAATACTGTATCTTTTATTAATATCTTGTAATAACTATCGAAAAAAATACACAATTTAATCACAAGAATGGTGTCTAATTGGTTTGAGTTTGGGCTCAAAAGGTCAAAAGTGCCCGGAGGTCCTTGGTTCGAATCCAAGAAGGAATAAAAATCCCTTGTAGTCACAAATGTTCAAATGGGGTGACTTCGTAGGTGCTTGTCTTGAGATTAGTCTACTCGCATAACAGGTTAAACATCCTGGTTAACAAAAAGATTCTTTTTTAAAAGCAACAACAAAAGATGTGGAAAATGCAATTGTTATTTGTGGAAACTTTTTGGCAAAATCAGTCTGTATGAAATGGTTTGGTTGGTAGGTGGCAGGTTTGGTGTTTCAAACTGTAGGCACATAATAGTATTCGTTTCTTTTCCAGATACTAAATCTTTAATCTCAGAACATCGTACATTTTCTTTAGCATCACGCATGGGTTATCATACAAATGTTGGATTGAATCCCACAATTTTTGCTCTGGAAAAAGAGCTGCCACAATAATAGAACTAAAGCCAATAGCGATGTGTGTGTTGCATGCGGAAGCAAAGACACTTTGGGGGTCCCCTCGCTTATGTTGTTACTTTTTAATCTAAAATAAATATCTGAATTTCGATCCATTAAATTCATAATTGTTTCAATAAAATAATATCGGTCGATACATGGAATTCTGCAGGTCTTCTGTTTGGACAATATTTAAGTCAATGTCGTTTTCTGATCGTTTCGTCGGAAGGTTGTAACTTTCTGACGATTGTGATGTATAGCACATGTATTTATACCCTTGAACCAACTTTCATCTCATGTCACCTCGGAAAACGGTGAATACATGACAAAACAATGTGAGTCTCTGACACAAATCCTATGAGAACCTAGGGACAAACAGTGCAACCGTAATGTTTAAAAGGTGCGACAGTTTTATATGGTGTCATCATATGGAAAAATCTTGGGTCCGTCCATGTGAAAACCCTTTTTAGGGGTTAACATTTCCGACCACTGATTTATACAGTTTCTACATTATTTTACGATATAAAGATTTATTTTCGATATTCAATATTTATGTAATGATGTAAAAAGAAACCAACATAGTTGGTTTGGTGGTACCCTTGATATCAAACATCCATCTTGTCGTGTTTCCGTATGGAATTGGACTCGAACAAAAAACAATCATTTTTATTAGGGTACGTTTTGGAAGTATGTAAGAAATGAAGGGTGGTTTATGTAAAATTAAGAAAAAGTATGTGGGTCAATTTGAGACTGACAACTGGCAAAGGACATGTCAATAAAGAAGTGACAACTGTCAGCAGGAGACTAGTCCCTGACTGAAGTCGTCTTTTTCGAACTCGCCCGTTCAATCCCCCCCTCCCCCAAATAAACACTCCTTTTCATAATTAAAAAACAAGCACATTTTTATTAATTTCTTTTTTTTAAGTAACTAGTTGTGTATTCGTGCAATGCGATGGAAACCATGAATTTTAATGATTTTGAAGTTTCATTGGTTTTATAAGATAAGATTTAACGATGATATAAGTTACACTTGGTCTTTACATATTAATACAATTTGAATAAATAAGAGTTATGGTTCCAATTATAGACTATCGATGGAAAAAATTGTATGACGGTTTATTATCTAATATATTTAAAATCCAACATATTTAAATGACTCCACAAATGTGTTCGATTTACACCAAGAGCAAAGAACCAAGAAACTTGAGTTTTAAGATAAACACTCAAAACCAATAAAAAAACTAAAAATTTGACATATCATAAGCCATGAAAAGACCCAAAAAAATGTGTTTTAGAATGAACTTTCAACTGCTTACCCTCTTTCTTGTTCAAAAACTCAAATTAATGTTGAATTAATACATGTATATATATATATATATATATATATATTTCAAAAAAACTCAAAATATATTAATTCAGAACATATTATACAGTGCAATTTGAACAGCCTAACCCCAAAATATATAGTATATATATAAATAAATAACTATAAAAGTATAAATCGTAAATATTAAAAATATTTTTTCACAGTATATATGATATATATAATATAATTAAGTAAAAAACTATTCAATATTTGACTCATTTCGAAGGTATTAACGAGACAATTATAATGGTGTAACTTTTTAAAATAAAAATGTATTTTTTAAACATTTTTTTAATTAATATACGATTGTGTATGTTAATTTGATAAAAGTTTAAAATGAAACATTTAAAAGTAAAGAACGTAAAGTAAATTAATTAACTAATTATAAGGGTATAAAGTGTAAATTTAAAATTATAATTAAAAAAAAAAATCAGGGTGAGTGTATGTAAGGGGGTGAGTGTATGTGAGAAGAGGAGGGGGTGAAAAAGTGAAAAAGTTGTATAAAGGGTATCTTGACCATTTAGTATTTTAATACTTTAAGACTTTTGCTAAATTTATTTAATAAGATAGTATAGATATTATATTTTTTTTAATTTTTTTTACATTAATTAATTTATGATTATAATAATCAGTTTTTAATTCTGATGATTTAATTTATATATTTTTTTATTAACCTGGATATCCAACCGCTATGTGAGTTGACTAATCCAACACAATCATCTGCTTTGCAGATAACACGAAGTCATCGCATTTGAACCTCTGTAGTCGGAATTTTGTTTCCTCCTTCGATTCGATTCTGGGACGTCCAAACATTTTTGACATTTGGAGTCTAAGCTCAAACCAATCAGATACAATCATTGTAGATTAATTTGGATTTTTAGGGTAATTGGGTAAATATAAAATTATCTTAACTACCATAAATATTAAGACAACTTGGATGAAGAATATATGTTTAATAATTTATATATTAAAGATCGAGTCTCTCTCTCTCTCTCTCTATATATATATATATATATATGTTTTAAAATTATATTATTAAAACATGAAATAAATAAAAATAAGTTAAAGAAAAATGGCATTTCATGTACGAAATCGAAAATCTGAGATTGAGTCAAATGTTTGATACAATAAATTTGACTTTTGTGAGCATGATGACGTGTCTGGGCCTCCATCCATCCCTATACCCCTATCTCCCATGTGTGTATCTACTTTAATTTTGGTTTTTTAAGGTTTTGTACAATTCTTAAAATTAATTATAAATAATAATAATTAAAATAAATTGTTATTTGGACACCTATCCATTCTAATTATTATTATTTTTTAATTTATTTACTAGTCATTATTACTTAATTAGCTTTTGTTTTTCTTATCTATATTATATTATAAAACATTTGACAAAAACTTTTAAAAATCATTTTTTATGCATGAAATACTGTATATTAATGTATATTACTTAAAATTCAAGATTACAAGTAAATTATGCATAACTACAAGTTATTAAAGCTCCATGTTTGAATTCACGTAACTAACTTCGGATAAACATAACCAATTAGAGGATAAACATCTTATTTTAAAATATAAAAAAATTGAAATATAATTAGGATAATTATCGAGTTATAACAAAATAATTAATTATTATCTTTATAAGAAAATTATATTATTAAACCGAATATAAATTACTTTGGTATTAAACCTAAATTAAATTATAAAAAAATTGAATTAGAAAATTACACAAGAAATATGAATTTTAAATAGTTAATTTGATACTAATATCGATATATTTTTGTCAAATTTTTTTTAAATTTATATTTTATTCAAAAATAAAAAAAATTAGCGCTTTTTCAAAATCACACAAGACCATACTGTAACATTGATTGAGATAAAGAATAAAATAAAATATTATGTTATTCCCAGATCTGATAGTAGAACGATTTACAAAAGAAGTTTGTAAGAGAAAGTAAACAAGAAGAAGATTAAACAGAGAAATAGCGGCTGCTTTTCTATTTATTGAAAATAAAGATTACAGACTCTCACGAAACCCTAATCGACTCTCATGATTTTGAATCTATCTATTTTGAAGAAAGATTTTCTATCTGCTCTTTTTTTTATTTCTCTATCTCTAACACTCTATTTATAGGCAGTAACCTACCAAACCTGGATAAGATTAATGC